ACAATATCAGCAATAAACAATACAATAGCTGACTCACGTAGCTTATGCACAGTAGCTTTATGCATACTGTGCATACTGCACACTATGCATACTGTACAGTAGCTTTATGCATTGATTCGACTGCGAAATAAACAATATATAAATTAGACTTGTGTTCTTGGCAGAGCAACGGGACAATGCATATAGAACAATGTGACCACAAGCAGAACAATGGAACAATTGGCAGAACAATGGAACAACTATCAGAACAACGCGATAATCAACAGAACAATGGGACAACGGACAGAACAAGTGAGCAGGTCGTGTTCAGATCTGGTTTCTTTCCTCCCCGGAATTTCTTCATGAATATCACCAGCTATCAAGATCACGAGATCACGAGCTAACGCGAAAGCAGCGCGATTTAAAAAAACCCGCAACGAATAAACAAATTCGACGAGGAAAGAATCCCGATGAAAAAACCACTCGCGCTTGCAACACCCACCGCATGGATGATGAGAAAAAAACATCATTATTGCGCTCGTTAATTATTAATTAAGTTAAACCGTGCAACATGGAACTCATTCCGCCGAAGGAAACAGATCACGAGTTTACGGCGGGTGTTATATATAGATGCCACCACGACATCACATCGCATCACAACAACGCAGCTCGCGGCGCGTTGACGTCACGTATCACCGCATGACGTCACGTATCACCGCATGACGTCACGTATCACCGCCTGACGTCACGTATCACCGCCTGACGTCACTGCGTCAGTGACCAGTAGTTACTGCTTTGAATAGCAGCAGTCACCGTGACTCACTGCCTGGGTCACTGCTACTGTCATTTCCTAGGTCTCTCCGTCTCTGACCGGTGGACCTTCTCTTGCGAACCATGGGTTCTTCTGTCGTTGATCAGTGGTTCTTAACTGTGTACCAAACGGGTCCTCCCTCGTTTTACCAGCTGTCCGTATATGCCCCCATGTCCCTCTCTGGTCTCTTCCTCGCTTCCTCCTCCCCCTTCTCGTTGTCTCACCTCCTTCTCCTATCTCGCTTCCTTCTCTTTCTTGCATCCTTCCCCTTCTCGCTGTCTAGCTTCCCCCAATTCCTCCTCTCGCCTCCTCCTACTCCTCCTCCTCTTCTCACTGCTCCCTCACCTTCTCCCCCTCTCCTTTGTTCCTAGTGAGGATAGTTGTACTCAAACATTTCAAAGTCCTGTCTGTATCTCTGCCTCAGCGCCTCCCTCCTCCTCTTCCTCCTCCTCTCTCCCTCTCCCTCACCTTCTCCCCCTCTCCTCTGTTCCTAACGAGGATAATTGTACTCAAACATTTCAAAGTCCTGTCTGTATCTACGCCTCAGCGCCTCCACCTCCTTCTTCGTCAGGTTCTTCATATACGTCGCCAACAGATCGACGGTGCGGGAGCCACCACGCGTCTCGATGCGCGGGAACGCCACCAGGTGGCCGACGCCGGCGCGATGCAGAATGAAGTAGCGGATTGAGCACGGGTGGCACAGGTCGGCGACCGGTCGCCAGTGCTCGTTGTGTTCCCACGTCGGCGTCCGCGCGTCGGCAACGTACCGCGCAAACTCGGCGAACGTGACGTCATGCCCGCGTGCCAGCGACTCGATGGACGCCCCCTGGCGGTAGCGCGCGACGATGTATCGGCCGTAGCGGAAGCGGTAGTAGTCGGACCAGACGCGCTGGAACTTGTTGCGGTAAGCGGACAGCGCTCGCTCGAACGGGTGTCGCACGAAGACGAACGATGTGTAGGTCGCCAGGCGGCGCTGCGCCTCCGCTAGGGGGAGCGCGGCGAGCGTCGGCAGGAGGTGACGCCGGTGTGACTTGTTGGCGGGGATGCCGAGCGGGTTGGAGGTGTTGTTTTTTCTGTGATTGTTGCTTTTGTTGTTGCTATCGTTGTTGTTGTTGTTGTTGTTGTTGTTGTTGTTGTTGTTGAGGACTAGCATGACTCGCTTCCAGTTGGTGCAGGCGACCTTGGGCACGTAGCAGTAGATGATGCGATGTACGTCATCAACGATGAGGTGGTCGAGCTGCGGCGGAGAGAAGGCGCCACCGGTCAGCTTGTACTTCTCACAGACCTGCGGAGATAGAGGGTAAGGTATGAGAGAGGAAGGAAGAGAGATGAGGATGGAAAGAGAGAGAGAGAGAGAGAGAGAGAGAGAGACGAGAGAGAGAGAGATAGAGATGATAGGGAAGAGATAGATAGAGAAAGAGAGTCATCGAGAGGAGAGAAAGAGTCGTAGAGAGAGAGAGAGAGGAGATACATGAGACAGAGAGAGAGAAAGAGAGAGAGTAGAAAGAGAGAGAGAGAGAGAGAGAGAGAGAGAGTAGATACAGAGACAAAGCGAGAGAAAAGGAGGAGAGAAGAGAAAAGAGAGAGAGAGAGATCTAAGAGAGAGAGAAGAAAGAGAGAGAGGAGGAGAAGAGAGAGAGAGAGAAGAATAGAAACGAGAGAAAGAGAGAAGAGAGATTAAAGAGAGAGAGAGATGAGAGAGAGAGAGAGAGAGAGAGAGAGAGAGGAGAGAGAGAGAGAGAGAGAGAGAGAGAGAGAGAAAGAGAGAGAGAGAGACTGTAGAGGAAACATAGTGACATCACAAGGCGGAAACGGACAATAAACACATGAGCAGCACTGCGGCTCTCACCCGCTGTATGGCGTCCTGTCGCCGCCGCTGCTCCTGCTCAATGTAGAAATCCGACGGCTGCGAGCTCTGCGCATGCGCGAGAGCATCGACAGGGAGGTTGGGAGCCTGGAATGGGGCATTATCCTGAGATAGACATGGCGCCATACATTCAGTAACAGGTGCAGTAGGGAGTTTAGCGAGGGTGGGATGTAGAGAGGGAGGGGTGTGTAAAACAACCATAGTGCCATATATTCAGTGAGAGAGGTGCAGTAGGTTGGAAGTTTAGGGAGGGTGGGATGTAGAGAGGGAGGGGTGTGTAAAACAATCATACGTGCCATATATTGCCATCAGTGAGAGAAATGCAGTAGAGAGTTTAGGGAGGTGGATGTAGAGAAGGAAGGGTGGGTAAAACAACCATAGTGCCATATAATCAGTGAGAGAAATGCAGTAGGGAGTTTAGGGAGGGTGGGATGTAGAGAGGGAGGAGTGCATGTGTAGGCCTACAACAGGCATAGCGCAGATGAAGTAGAGTATGGGGGAGAGCTTTAGTTACGGGTTTCCTTACTAGAGAGCTTCATCAAAAGAATAAAGGTAAACGGTAGTGACAACTATAGCAGAAGACGATATATATTAATTTTATCTTCTTCGTTCTCTTCATTGTTGTTATCAGTGTCGTCGTTATCATCATTATCATCAGCAGCAACAGCATTATTATCAGCAGCAGTAGCAGCGCAGCACAGGCAAAGGGCAGTCAGCAGCAGAGCAGCAGTACAGCAGCAAGCGGTAGCAGTGCAGCAGCAGCAGCAGCGTAGCAGGCAGCAGGGCAGCAGCAGCAAGTAGGGCAGCAGCAACAGGCAGTAGCTAGCAGCAACAGCAGCAGCAGCACAGTAGTAGCCAGCAGCAGCAGCAGGCAGGCAGTAGCCAAGTAGGAGTAGGCAGTAGGAAGCAGCAGCAGCATCAGCAGGCAGGCATAAGAGAGGCAGCAGCACCGAAGCACGCGAAGCAGCAGCAAGTAGAAGCAGCAGCAGAAGCAGCAGCAACAGCAGCAGCAGCAGCAGCAGCAAAGCAGCAGCAGTAGCAGCAGCAGCGATGCGGTACAGGCAGCAGAAGCAGAGCACAGCAGCGGTAGCAGCAGCAGCACGCAGTAGAAGCAGCAGCAGGTCAGGCAGCAGCGAGCGGTAGCAGCAGCAGGGGCAGCAGTAGAAGCAGCAGCAGTAGCAGCAGCAGGCGGTAGCAGCAGCAAGCAAGCAGTAGAAGCAGCAGGGCAGAAGCAGTAGCACGCAGCAGGCAGCGCAACAAACATATCACACCATTACACATCATTATCATCAGCAGCAGATCGAGCAGCAGCAACCACAGCAGCAAACAACATATCAACATTCATATGCATCATCAAGCAGCAGCATAGCAGGCAAGCAATACCAAATCAACATCATTATCAATTTCATGCACCATCATCATCAGCGCATCACCATCACCATTAAGCAAGGGGCAGGCAGAAGCAACATCATTCAACAATCAGCAGCAGCAGGCAAGCAGCAACCGCAACACAGCAGTAGTAGGCAGCACACAGCACGACACCAATTAAATTATTATTACATCAACCACCATCACATCATCCATCATCATCATCATCAGTCATCGTGCGTCTCGTCGTCGTCGTCGCCGTACGCGTGTTAAACCTTCACGTGTTCCTCCGTATGCACGCGGTAGACGTACGACACGACCTCCTGCAGATGACGCTGCAAGCACGCGCAAACAAACAATTACGTCACCGGCGCAGGCAGGGGTTTCCTCCCTCCTCCGCAGTCTGTGTATTCGAATGTTATATGGCAGCCGGCGCAACGAGTGAGTTATGAACGAACGTTCGGTGAACTTTTACATATACACGATGATGGGGGGAACGGGAGCGACAGATGGACGAAGAGATGGAGGCGACAGAATGGATGAAAAGATGGATCGGAGAAGACAGATGGACGGGAGAGATGGGACGGAGAGATAGATGGAATGGAGAGATGGGACGAGAGATAATATGGATGCAGAGATGGGAGCGAGAACAGATGGAGCGGAGAGATGGGACGAAAGAGAGAGAGAGAGAGAGAGAGAGAGCAGACAGAGCGAGTAGAGAAAGGAGAGAGAGAGAGGAGGAGGAGAGAGGGAGAGAGAGAGACGGAGAGACAGGCGATGACTGAAGAGGAGCGGGGAGAGAGAGAGAGCGAGAAAAGGAGAGAAGAGAGAGCAGAGAGAGAGAGAAGAGGAGAGAGAGAGAAGGGAGAGAGAGAGGGAGAGAGGAGAGAGAGAGGGAGAGAGCGAGAGAGGAGGGAGAGAGAGAGAGCGAGGGAGAGAGCGAGAGAGAGGAGCGAGAGGAGAGCGAGAAAGAGAGAAGAGAGAAGAGAGAGACGGAGAAGAGAAAGATGACGGAAAGAAGAGACGCGAAATAGAGCGGAGTAGGCAGACGGAAAAGCAAATACATGACGCATTCCCTGGGGGAGGGGGGGGGATACGGGAGCATAGGAGGGGCGAGAAGCGACAACAGAGAGAAGGCGAGGAGAGATAGATAGAGAGAGAGCGAGAGAGCAGAGAGATAGATAGAGAGAGAGCGCGAGCAGGCAGAAGAGAGAGAGAGAGGGAGAGAGAGAGAGAGAAGGAGCGAGAGAGATGAGAGAGAGAGATAGAGAGAGAGAGAAGAGAGAGAGAGATAGATAGAGAAGAGAGAGCGAGAGCGAAGAGAGCAGAGAGAGAGGGAGAAGAGAGAGAGAGAAGAGAGAGAGAGGAGAGAGAGAGAGATAGATAGATAAGAGAGCGAAGCAAGAGAGAGGAGAAGCGAAGAGAGAGAGACGAGAGAGAGAGAGAGAGAGAGAGAGAAGAGAGATAGAGAGAAGACAGAGAGAGAGAAGAGAGAGGGAGAGAGAGAGAGAGAGACAGAGAGAGAGAGAGAGAGGAGACAGAGACAGCACTGAGAGGGTACAAATATCAGACATGAGAAGGAATTCATAGCCACTACACAGTCTATCGCTACAACAATAGAAACGCCACACGAAGTCATAACATATCGTCGTTAACTCGCAGCTACACAAACACAGCAGATCGCCTATATTTTAATAATCGCTGCGTTTTTAATCGTTGTGACGTCAACTCTAAAAACTCGGAAGGCAAAACACGAGAAAAACTGCGTTAAAATATCGTCTGCTATAACTGCCGCCAGGTGCCGGAGCAGACGCAGCAAAACTACCTCTCCTTCCTTTTTCTTTCTCCCTCTCTCTCTCTATCTCTCTCTCTCTCTCTCTCTCTCTCTCTCTCTCTCTCTCTCTCTCTCTCTCTCTCTCTCTCTCTCTCTCTCTCTCTCTCTCTCTCTCTCTCTCTCTCTCTCTACTCTCTCTACTCTCTCTCTC